CAGGCGCTTCCGTGCTACTCCGCCCGTATCATTAACAGCGGGCATTTTTCTCGAATCGCACTCGGCTCGCATTGTTTTACGTGCTGCCCGGCCTCTCCGCGCCGCTGGTGTTACTGCCGGCGACCCCGCGCGGACAACAAAACATATGGCGTGCGGGCGCGTGCGGTGGGGGCGTTGCGCCGGCGTGTTGCCGAGCTATAGGAATCCTTCGCCTATATAAACAGTTTACTCTGCGTATCCGCTGCGAGCCTAAATAATCCACGTCTTGACCGCGGTAGCAGCGTCGGCGGGTACCGCTGGCAGCCCGCCCGCGATCATATAAGTCTCTCCCGGTTGCAAAACATGCGGTGCATGAAAGTTATTTGTAGTTGTTGCGTGTGCGATCTAAAGTGTATCGATGGCTGCATGCACGGCGCAGCCCCCAGTGCTAGATGTATTGCTTGCCTGTTGCTGATGTCACGTCCCCGTACAAACGCTGCATGCGCACGAGATGCAATTGAACTGGGGTCGTACATGAGCGGAATAAGATCGCTCATCTCTGCGCGAGAGAGAATGTCCATTGATGGAGAACGAATCGCCACGTGCAGGAAAAAGACGGGACGTGGCTCAGTGAAGGTTCGACAACGATACGAACCGACGGACGTAGTAACCGATGTGTTAGACATCCACCGATCCACATACTAATATAACCAGACAGACGGACGTACAGTAATATGTGCTTATTGACGTTTAATAATTTTAAATCCATCCCCGCCCGTTTACGAGTTCCGTAACTGGAAGAGAGTAATTAGTTTATTGTACCCTTTATTTATATTATGGCTCGTGTATACTGCGTGTGCTAGCTGTGTACTGTATATGCAACGACTGCACGCGCATAACCGCAGACGTTGTGGTAAATGTCCACGTATGTTGATATAACGCCGATGGCGGCCCTAAACAGCTCCGGTGATCATGCCTTGAGTTATGTACAGCTAACCCGTAAACACGCGTCTTGAGAGTATCCAAATATACTTAACCAGTATTTGCGTATCTGAGAGCCGAAACATGTTAGATCACAGCTCGGTTTCCGTCTGATTCTATCTAAAATACTACAAATAGGCCTAGTAGAACGCGAGTATCTAGAGAGCAAAAGCGCGAAATTTAGCAACGAAAAGTCGCGTGCTAGACATAAACCGGAATTCAACAAATATTTAGACTTGTAACGTGTTTGTCTGCAAACTGTAAATGTCATGTGTGCTACGTAGATATGTCACGATTTAATTATACAAGGCTAACCCTAGATTAATAACCTTAAATTAAATAAAAACAAGTTTGTTTAATATTTAAACTAATTAAAATGGCAAAACGTTCGTTTAGCCTCGGGCTATGCTGAATTTAACGAGAACCCTTTAATATCGAGCGCGATTACGTCCTCCTTAATAACACTCGACAACTTTCGTAGACCTATATTGCTTTTCATATTATTCCGAAACACTTTGATAAAAGTGTGCTTTCACCCGTTTTAATATCGCAGAATACCGCCGCAGTCGCTTCTCTACCGCAATCATTCGGACCAACTCCAATGTGGTTACGACTATATATATATATATACATGTGTGTGTGTGTGTGTGTGTGTGTGTGTGTGTGTGTGTGTGTGT